GGAAGCCGCACGGGGTGAAGCGGCATCACCACAAGCACAACTTGAAGCACCGCTACGAGCTGCAGGAGACGCTGGGCAAAGGCACCTACGGCAAAGTCAAGAGGGCCACCGAGAGGTTCTCGGGCCGAGTGGTGAGTGCGGGAAACCCCGGGGGGCGCGGCCCGACGCACTGGGGACCGAGGGCGCCAGGGGCGGGGGTCTCGGGTGCTGCGTCTCTCTGGTCTGAGAGGGGGCTTTCCGGGAACCCCCAGACAGCTCCACTCTGCCCCCAGCTCCCCGTGACTCAGGCGTGTTTCTCTCCTGAAACACTTGTTACATCCTGTCTGCGCATATTTTGGGGGGTTTTATTCCAGCAGCAAAGTAGTGTTTATGATTTGCAAACACTTTGCAAGGTTGGGACCGTCGGGGTCTCCCTCTAGGGCGCGCGTTCAGACCATGCCCTGGAATGCCTTATTGCTCCAACTCCAAACCAGGTCCAAGCTCTCAGCTCAGAGCTGGTCCCCCAAATCCCGTGTCCTGCAGATGAATGCGACCCCCCTGCCCCCCACCCTCCCACTCATCCTCCCTATCATCTGGATGCTGCTGTCGCTGCAAGGGAGGGCGCACTCCTGCCTGTTTTTCAGAGAGAAGGTTAGGGAGCAAAAAGTAAAGGCTGCTGTAGGCATGAGAGCTGTGACAGTTTGGCCTGGCTTCTGGGAGGACTGAGATGCCCAGGGCACGAGTAGCCACCCAGACGCTGAGTTGCAGCCGACTCAATTACACTTCAGGTCCTGGCTGCAAGGGCTACCAAATTGCTTTAGGAGTCTGGCCCAGCCGCCCCCCTCTCTGTGACAGCTGAAACCCCGCCAGCATCCGGGCATCATTTGCACAGCCCCAAAGAGCTCCTCCAGTGCCTTGGGGTCTCTCGATGGTCGCCAACTTGGTTTGTTGTCATTTTCCTTTCTGCAGAACAGGCCCCAGTAATCCACACGGCTTGGGCCAGAGGATTGGGTTCAAAGTGACGGGTGGCTGCAGAAGGATTTTGTGTGGTGTGTGGCAGAAAATTAACAGGGTACTTTGATTTGAAGCATATCTGATGCATTTTAATCGATTTAGCGCCAGACTAATTTTGGGACTCCTTGTGTGCACATTTTGGGGTGTTTTGTGGCCCAGGGTTGGTTATAAACTTAACAAGTGGGGGAGGGGGGGACAGGGGGGAAGCAAAATGAATCGTTGAATGAATTGGTAGGTTGATGTTGGTATTTTTCTTTTGCATATGTGCAGAGATTGTTCTGTGAAAAGGGGGGCACCAATCAGAAAGTTCACCCCCCCCGTCCCCCCCAATTCTCAAATATTTGGATTCCTGGATAACTCCCGCATTCTAAGCATCACTGTTTGGGTTGATATAACTTTATCCTATAGCTTTAAAAAAAAGTCTGTTGTAGGTTAATTGGAAATTTGAGACATTGTACATTATGTATTTTAGGCTGTCTCCAATTTAAAAATTCTATAGCAAGCAAAAGTAGTGGAGAATTCACTCTGGGCAGGTGCCATTTTTGAAGGCTGAAAATATTTAAAGAGGCCATGGTTGTAACGATGCCCTTTGGGGAACACCTTTCCAGGTTTGTGGAAGAAGAGGCTGAGAAACGTGCACTTCATTCATGCTTTTCTTCTGAGGTGATATTCCCCAGGCTGGATGTTGAATAAGCAAAAACTAAGCTTAGCTCCTTGCCCGTATTGTCTTAATAGCTGTTGAAGAATCGCGCTGGGAAGTTGGAAAGTGGGATAATGACAAACAGACGCGGTTGGAGCTACAGGTTGAGGATGTGGGCTTGTGAGGGGTTGAGTGGTAAGGGTGTGTCTGGAGGGATCTGTGAGGGGACACAGAAGCCTGAATGCTGGGGAGCTGCCGCAAACTGAGAGAATGAAACCTTGTGTTATGGCAGATACCTTTCTGAGTTTCACTGGAGCTTCCTGTCAGGCATTCCTCTCACTGTCGGATCCACAGAGTAAGTCAGAGTGGAAGGGACTGCATCAGTAGAGGGGAGCCTGCCCTTCTCTTTCTGTGGGTGTCTCCCTGTATTTGCAGAAACTCTGAGCATTCCGTCGGGATTTAATTGAATGCCCACTAGGGGGCGCCCTGAGAACGGAAGAGGCTCATTTCTCAGCCGCAAGACTTCAGTCCTGGATGTTATTGTCCAGCCCTAGTTCAGTTTCCCATTGTGCTGTTTATTTCAGCCCCATCTCTTGTTTTACTCAAAAATTAATGCAGAGATTTTGAATCTGGTAGCAGATCCAGCCCCAGAAACCGACAATCTCCAAACTGCTTTCAACTGGATAGATGCGCTTACAATGTCAGCAAAATCATCTGGTGAAAACCTCGCATTAAATAGGTGGGAAAACTAGTGAGGTGGGGTGAATGGGAGGCCTCCTTGGCCTTGAGTCCTCCCCCTGCTGAGCACACTGCTCACAGACGGTGTAAGGACTTAAGTGAGAAGCAGGAATTGTCAGGTGGAAAATTCCCTGTGCCTGGCTGAACAGAAAATAAAACAAACATAAAAAAAATTTGGTCAATGAGTTGTTCTTGCCATACAGCGCTTGGTGACTCAGAATCTGTCAAGAGCAGCAAGAAATTTTCATTTAAACTGGCAGTTTTCTTCTGATTCCAAGGATGCGCTAAACGGCTACAATTTACTTGTAAGGTACCATTGAGGTGACTTGACAAGCGCTGTCTCAATGTTGCCTTTTCACTCTTCAGGGAGAATTCTGCAGTGATTTATTTTCATTTGTAGCCTCGCCTTTTAGAGCACTTCTCATGAGGTGTGGTGGTTTTAAGCGACTTTGCCAATGCGAGTGGCTGGAGTCGGGTGTTGGGTGTCAGGCTGCATGAGATGCTGTGCAATCAGTACTCCTGAGACAGAGAAGTGTTTAAAAACAAGAATGTTGTGGCTTTTAATTGCATGTCTGGAGGGCCTTCTGAATCAAACAAAACACCACACAGCATCATCTTCTGTGAAAGGCAGTTCCAAAAAGTGTTGCAGAATCAGGAAATTGGATCAGCTAGTCCAGCCCTCCGCATGGTCCAGGCATCTTCCCCTCTTCAATCCCAAATGTGGTCTTGAGGCCACTGCCTGAGCCTGTCCACAAGACAGGGACTTCCAGAAATTAACAAGCCCAACAATGAGGTACTCTTGCAGAAGGGCTAAGAGCCCTGGCTGACATTCAAATCCTGACCCATTCCTTGCTAGCCTTGTGACCTTGTGCAAGCTATGCAGTAGTTTGAAACCTCAGTTTTCTCATCTGTAAAATGGGCAAACAATGGTACTAAGTTCATGGGCTTATTGTGAGAATTGAGTAAAAATATCTATAGAAAGCCTCAAATGGGGAAATACTAGTAAGCCCATTTCAGTTGCCTCTTTCAGCAAGTTCTCCCCTCCCCCCTCATTTTACTTGGACTTCCGTTTAGATTTTAAACCATCAGAAAGGCATGATGCTCTGGACAGCCTTGTATCATTCAGAGAGAAAGAGAGAGAAGAACTAATCAACCTTTCAGGTTAATTAGGGAATGCTAGGGAAGTGTGCCCACAGGAAGCCAAGGCAGCCATATTCCAGTAGGCTCTGGAAGTATTTCTGAAGCCTTGAATTTAGGCTTTGTTTATTGCAGAATTCTTGTTTTGCTACAATTTTGGCCACGCTGTCGAATGAGCCCCTGTGTCGAAACACGGCATGCATTTTCTTTGAGCCAAACTCCCTAGACCTTCAGGCAGCACAAAATATTGACAAAACATACCAAAACCAAGAACAACATTTTGGGGAGAGGTGTCATGTGATCACCTCACTGCCAAGAGCCAAATTCAACTTTCCCTGGGCACCAGGTTATCTCTGGTACGGGGTGTTGTATAAGCAGGAGGAAAGGTCTGTGGGAGGGGTCTGGCATGGGAGTGACAGGACTGGTGGGCAGAGTGTGGCCCCAGGTCCTAGAGCACTAGCTGGAGTGATGGGCCATCCTCACTTGGCAAAGCTACTGATTTGACCCAAAATGGGTGTTTTCAGCATTGCCCCTTTTATTCATAGCCTGGTGCTGGAATATTTGCAGATCAAGGGAGTGAATTAGCAGGCCGGCCTGCTGAGCCAGGGCAGGGCGTGTGTGGCTGTCATATGCACATGTCGGAGGTGCCATGTTGCAGCTAAGACCCGACTCCAGTTTCAGGGATCAAGGGACCTCGGCAAACATGTGGTCCAAACTTCTTATCCTGGAGATGGAAAAAGTAGGGCACAGAAGCGTTAGGTGACTTTTCTGAGGTTGCACAGCTCCTAAGTGACTGGGCAGGGTCTAAGAAACCTGATTCTTGGTTTGGTATTTTTCCATCCCTCATTTCATAAATCTTTCCTAGAGCAAGACATGATCCTCACTCTTAAAGAGCTTATAATCTGGTAGCAAAGATGAAATGTACTTACAAATATTGAACTAATTCAGCTCAGTTCAACAAAGATTTATTACCATCTGCCATATGCTTCTCACCATGTTAAATGCTGGGACATAGACGAAGAACTTACCGTCTGGCAAGAAAGATAGAATTAAGCAGTTGCTAGGCCATGGGTTCCTCTTCTATGCAGGACTTGGTGATTTCAGGTGATTTTCAAGTCGGAATGTAGTTCATTGAAGCTTAGTTCAATGAGTTTGATCCTGGAGAGGAACACCCCTTCCCAGTATTAGCCCTGCTGCTATTATTACGACCAGCTGATATCTTGGAGAGCCTGGGGTGTGTCTACTTTACAGACATTTTCTCTGAGCCTCTCGTCAGTGCTAAGAGGTATGTACTCTAGTTAGATCCATTTAATAGATAGGGACAGTGAGGCTTTAGGGAGGTTTGGTAACTTGCCCAAGGTTTATACAGTTAGACAGTGTCAAATACATCGATCTGTTTTGAAACATGTTGCTTTTAGAGAAATGGAGAACCTTCCTTAGGTTGTCCAGCTGGTCACTTCTGGATTTGGGCGTGGTTGCTCCGCTCCTGGTGCCAGAAGACCAGCCATGGGGTGATTATTGTCCTGGGGGGTGGTTCTCACTGTTGTTCAGTAGGGGATCTAGAGAAGAGGCCATGGAATACTGTACGATTAGGGACAACAAGTGCTGTTGAAGATGACCTTT